CCCCACCCCGGCCGCACCCCGTCGCTCGACCCCACCCTTGCCTTCAGTGCTGGACTCTGCAGCAGCGCCGTGCTCCATCCCGCCTCGCCGCCGTGCTCGATCTACCCAGCTGCCGTGCTTGACCCTGCCTCGCCTCCCCGTGCTTGAAGCTGCACATCTCCCATGGTCGAAGGCACGTGTTTCCAGTGCTGGAAGCTCCCAGCAATGGGTTACGCTTGGTCTCTCGCCCGCTGCTCCCGACCTGCTTTACTCATGCCCCACTCGATGCCACTCCAGCACCCCACGCTTGGGGTGTGCCGCAGTTGATTTGACATGCTCATTGCAGCAGGCTCGACGCATCCGCCATGGCCGGCTGAACTCTAACCATAGAGTTTATTGTAATGTAATGCATCAATGCCATCTGTTTTGGCTCCCCATGAGATATGACACAATTAGAAGAAGATTGAATCATACATATGTATATTCCTGCACAATGTAATTATGATACCTGATGAATGGATAGTACACATGACCAAATTGTGAAGACATCTAACAAGATGTGACATGAAGTCTGGAGGTTTCTGGTGTTATTTGAACCAAAATATATCATATTGAAGAGATGATTGATGTTACAAATCACCAAAATATGCCCAAAAAGTTCATAAAATTTCACATATTTGTGAACATTTTGTGACAAATGCTCAGGGGGACCTTCCAGATATCCTCATTTTTGTACTTATGTGCTCCTATTAGCTCCTATATGTTCCTATATACTGTAAAAGGCCCCAAAATGGCTTTATCTGCACGGATAGTCCAGTAATTACTTGACATTCCCCCCCTTTATGATACTAATTCCCAGAGGGTGTGTTTCCTGATGGATAACGGAGTGCGGCGTGCTCGTTCCGGCGTACTCGTTCGTGGCAGTGCGGACGTCGGCGGGCGTGTTCGCGTTGGGCGCGCTACAATACGACAGTGCCTAAGCGTAGTGCACACGAGAGAGGAGGGATCTAGGGAAGACACGCGGCGTAACTGTCATGTTCCTAATATTGGGACAAAGGGTCCGAATGGAGGGCCCCATGGGGGTTCACATTTCTAGCATATGCACATACTACAGAGACCGCCGATTGCCACAGAGAAAATGTCCGGGGGTAAACAAAGGAACTAACGACAACACTACGACCATCTACTATATGAAACAGGTGCACAAAACCACGTATCATGGACTATGCTGCTTGTCCTTCTCCGTACTAGGAGGCACGGGATATGGCAAAGGTTCCCACTGGTAAGGTACGTCCGTGTACCCCAGCGGCGGCTGCCCCACCGAGCTCGATAGCCGTGACGACGAGGACGATCGATTCCGGCTGCTCTGCGGCCTCAACGACGCGCCCTCCGACACGGTCGACATTCGTTCGTGGCGTTGCCCGGCGCCCGCCACGGCCTCCGTCACCGTGCCCGGCGCGAGCAGCGACATGCGCATGTCGTCAGACCCCGCTGTTCGCAGGCGCGGCATGCCCGACTTCCGCCGTCCGCGAGTCCCTACCGCCTCGTCGTCGTCATCGTCGCCCTCCTCCGCGACAATGGCGCCCGTCCGCTTGTCGAGTCTGAACCGGAGCCCGTCAAGCTTGTGCCGGATGGTGTCGACGTCGTCGTAGGGCAGGAGAAGATCACCGAAGCCGGAGCGCGAGGTGAGCGAGACGATTGCCGCGATCGAGCCTGGGGGGGCAGTTAGGTGCAAGCCCATCCGGGCGCGTCGGTGCAGGATGTGAACGACAATGCCGATGATGCCGATAAGCCCGAGAGCCGCTGCCAGGCCATGCGCAGCGAGTTCACTGGATGATTCGATGAGCGCGGATCGTGATGAAAGCACGAAGGGCACACACTTCATAAACAGCCTCGGGAGGTTCGAAGTGAGCTCCGCAGTGAGCTCGGCGGGGGTACCCTGAACGAAGTACACGGACTTCGCAACAATCGCCAGGAACTGCGTCTGCAAATCCAACCCACGATCAGCTTTGTCCCGAACAGTATGTGAGAGACGTGCATAGATGTTCTGGGTCAGCGTGAGGAAACCATTGGGATCGCTGAAGGTCGACTGGCCCGTGCCGTCCTGCTGTACCGCAAAACGGAACACTGCGCCAGGCACGCCCGAGCTGGTCGCAGTTTGCCGAGCCTTCACGAAGGAGTTAGTGAGGGAGTCCGTGTTGGCAAACAAACTGGATGGCGATACGTGAGCACTGCAGCCTCCTACGAAGCAGGGGTCGGTCGCTCACCCATTGAGTGCTTGCCCGTTCTGAGGCGATCCGGTGACGTTGTTCTTAGACGTATACTTGTCCTGCGGCTCGATCCTCATCACCGACCCGTTGGTGATGCTCACCATCGCTTGCACATTGAACACGGTGATGCTAGGAGCGCAGTATACAGCGGCAGCCTGATTCTGGCCGGACGGCGTTTCGTGATAGTACCAGAACAAGACCGGAGCAGTATCGTTTTCGATCGGCTGGTTACCCTGTCCATCGTAGCCGGTGTGAACAGCTCCGCACTGTGCCACCTCGACGCCGTATTGCTGTTCCGAGTCGTTGGGGTTAAGAGTGACCTGGTTGGAGCACCCAGAGGCGAACGAGGAGGAACCCTCTACAAAGATCGTGACATCACCACTGGATTGTTTGATGGGGTTGGTAGAATCCGGTTTGAAGCAGTTCGCGCTCGTATTGATGGCGATGGCTGATCAGGTGTTCTGAGCATACCTCTTCGCGATAAATATGCATTGCTTACAAGGGACCGACACCGAAAGCGCGTTGTTGTCAGGGTTGGGCGGATACTGAGCGAATTTCGGTTTTAGCGACTCGGACGACCTTGGTGCGCAGCCTTCGACGAACCTTGAATTCCGCCAATGCCCAGCTGCCGTTGATAAACGGAGGATCTGTAAGATTGTGGAAAACTTGAGGCCAAGTTAGTTCGCTCGAAAAGAGGCTAAACAATATCTACATCCACGTACCCGCTGCTTCGACGAACTGAAACCCACATATGAACTCCCTTTTAGTTCGAGGTGACCAGTGTAAGCAGGCACACTCACCCCAGCTGCAGCAACGAATGCGTTGAAGGTGCTGATGTCGGGCGCGAGACCAACGCCGTCTACATTCTTGACCGTGGTAGCTAGGCGTAATAGCACGATTATCAGCAAAAATGATGGCCATCGGATGGGGAGCAGAAGTCCCAATACTCACTGGTGTTATGAGGCGTCTGTCTGAGTTCGAAGAGCGCACCCGCCAAAGGTTGGAACAAGATCGTCCCGAGAGCGGTCAACGTCGACACGGTCAGCAGCCAGTGTCGATGTTTAATCGATTGTTTGACAACAAAAATCTTGCTGTAACAGCTCATTAGAACCCGATGGCGACAAGTTGAGAGTCTGGGAGACATACTTCAGCGCAATCTGTCAAACAAAAGTTAGCATGTGGGTCGGCCCGAACGCATATGCAGTAGGAGAAGAACATACGTAGTCGAGGAGGATAGATTCACCTGCAGGGGCATTTCCCCGCAGAAGCGTCACATAAGGCTGTGATCGTGCATCAGCCTCCAACCAGATTGTATCGTAACTGTTCCTCTGACCTGATACCACCGGATCATCCAATCCGTCACGGTCCAGAGAAATGCAAGGGGTGCGACGAGGAGTGTCGGAACGAACGACTAGTGAGAGTACATGTGCGTCAGAGACCGCTCCGAGATTAATTCGGAGGACGTACGAGCAAGAACGCCGGGCTGGCGAAGCTGATAGCATTCTTCTCCGGTACCCCAAACCCTATCCGAGCCCATGAACATCCCACCAATAATGTTGGACGCAAAACTCACCATTGCGTTTGATCGACAACAACACCCCGATTTCCAACGCGATCGCCATAACTATCATGATGGTCGCTATCAATAGCACGGCCCATGTCCTCAGGATAATTGGTTCATAGCGTGGCGGGCGCTTGACCTCCGTCCCCGGAGTCGGTATTTCGTACAGCGACTCGCGAAACCGCCGCCTCCGCGGGCTTCCTCCGGCTGTGGTAGGGTTGTTGTAGGTCACGGACGAGAATGACGGTGGTGGATCGTTGGGAAGGCGGATGGAGGGCTGCCCAAGCGTCGTGTCCTGGCTGAACGGTCGTTCCCGTATAGAGGGCCCGCCGAGGGTGACAGAGGCATCGTCGTCCCGTGAAGACGATGCGTCCGTTAGTGCCTTGCTCTTGCTGTCGTCAATGAGCATTTCTTCGGGCTCTCTTCAGCAGGTCTGGTCCGTTTGATGTACAAGTCGTCTCGACGGTTTAGACGCCGTCGGGTAGCCGTAGCAATAGGATACAAATAGCAACAATGAGGCCTGGCCCGGCCACGAAAGAACGTCGAGCAAAGCAAAGACAAGGCAAAGGCAAGAGATGTCCGAGGCCGGCAAGGAGGACAATCGTAAATCGTGAACGCTGTGAACGCGCTGCTGAGGCTGAGGCCGACTTCACCGAGTGGACCAGCGAGGTCGTCGGGCAGGCACTGAGTTAGCATCGCCCTGTGTTTACAGCTTACCCTGAATGATGCCCGAAAATAGTGATTTCGCCACAAAAGGCAGGTGCTTTTGCCCGATACCTCCAAAACTAGAAATACTCCTGAGCTCCGCCGAGCATGCCGAGAGCGGGAACAAAAAGCGTTGCTTGAGACAGACCTCACATCGCTTGAGACCGAACCACACTAAATATCGGCCATATACCACATAACAGGGACCCAGCCGATTGCGATACACCTCGACGCACCCAGGTCGGGACAGAGGCGAGTGCCCGTTCATGACACGTAGTGTAGACTACGCCTGCATATTACTTAGCATACCACTGTCGATACTGAACGCGTTATCATGGCTCCAGTGTACCAATGGCTACGTTTGCCGACACTCATGTCTCCTCGCACAGCTGCTTCCAAGACGGAGGGATGATTTGAGATTCCGGACCGGTAACTTGATCCTCGGGGGCTTCGGCGAGAACGATCGCAAGCCCTCTAGTACAGAGGTCAGTCAGAAATTTCATGCACGAAATGTCAGCGCAACGCACGCTTGAAGATGGAAGTCGATGTGCTACGGCGACGGTGTGTGAGCAGGATGCCGAATGCGGTAGGATATTTCGCTCAACTTACGCTGCATTGCATAGGTCAGCGTGGCCAGGGGCAGGATGTTCCAAGCTCACCAATGAAGTAGCCACGGTCCTGGATTATCGGTTCTGAATCTGACAGGGCAAAATACGTAGCATCATGATGTGGCCCGCTATCTGTGGATACTCTTTGACGTACCTGATCGTTACATTGTCTGAAGCTGCTCCCAAACTGACCACATCCCGAGCGGGAGGGTCAATCAAATGGACCTCGGACGACCCGGCGCTACGAATTACTTCGAAAGAGTGCTATTCGGGGCAGTTCTTGTGAGCTGTGCGGCCACCTTAATGTTGACGCTTACCCCATGCAAATGTACGGGATGCTGCTCAGTCACGGTAGGGTCAGAGCCGCAATGCTCACAGAGTGATAACCACCTACAGGAAATTGTCCCTGCCCTGGCATAGATATCTCGACCAGCTTGTTCCGAGGCAAAACGTAGACGCTGCCCTCAGGAAGCAGGTCGCTCGCGGAGAACTTGCCGCTGAGGATTTGAAGGAGAACGGGCAAAGGAGGTGGATTGTATTGTACGCCATTCACGGTGAAATTACCAAACTCTCCAGCCTATATCAAGCTCGCTCAGTCTGTTCCTTCATTAATGCAACAAGAACCCGAGGGTCATCACCTCTTCAATATCGAGGTTTAGAGCGACATCGACCTTGTCCCCAATCTATGTGACGAGTAAGTACAAGAACATTAGGATAGTGAGCACCAGGGCGACTCACCGATGAGGGGACTAGAGGCTGACAAAACGTTAGGACTATGAGATCGACAAGAAATGCCGTACTCACTCGCAGATCCTGCTCTTTCAGTAAATTGGTCGTGGTTGCGGTGGTATCCGGATCGACCGGTCGCGCCCCGTGGTATCTGAGTATTGCCGAGTTCGTTCCTAAAGTGTCATTTAGTGAGTACTGATATAATTTACAAACTGAAGCATACCATTCTCGAATCCAAGAGTGCCGAGGTTCGGATTTGCTCTTATCCCTGCGTTTATGTCTTAGTATGGGGTCTGGTGGTATGGTCATTACCTGGACATACAGTAATTCGAGACGGGCTGATCGGCGTGAACCTGGAACGACTGTGCAATTGAAGCAGACATAGGACGATGGCCTAGCTTACCACAACAGAGTAACGCTGCCCTATTCCCAACGTTCAGGACCAAATGAGATTCAGTCGATATAGGCAGCCGAGCTCACCCGCATGGATATCGATAGAATCAACCGTCACCGGCCGAACCGAGGTCCCGTCCGCTCCAATGACGGTGAGCTTGTGCCCGTCGATGGAAAACGTGTAAAACGGGAAGCACGCGATGTTCAATACGCGGAAACGATAGCGAGTACCGTGCTGGACATTGACGATTGAAAGAGGCACCAGAGGCCCACCGGCATACCGCCCGAGACCATTTATCACCGTCGTGTCCGGAGGCCTGTTGAGTTTAGTTAAACTACACCGCTCAAACCTTGGGGACGCTCGTACTGGAGTAATTCAGCTGACAACGCGGCCGTTAGGTGATACCTAGATAGGTGCATCGTCAGGCTCATGAAGCGTAGATGCACCGCATAGCATATCCTGTTTACCAATCGCCGATGGTTATGATTGTGCTCTCTGATATTTTACGAGATGAGTCACCCGCATAGCTGGCCAACACATTCACGCACCATCGTCTACGTCATAGAGAGTGCGGTGTGGATCGTCGGGGTCTTTGATATAGGATCAGCTATACTCAGCGCAGCACAAGAGGTAGGTTACCGTAGATTACAAGAGGTCCTCTGCATCAGTGACGGTTAATCATAAGAGCAGAGGTAAATCTACCGTTATATGGCTCACCGAAGGCCATCGCAGTATTGCAAAGATATATGAGAGTGATACCAGAATGTCCTGATACGCATGTCAGCTCAATATGGAGATAGGGAAACGTTGAATGTACCCTGCTTGGTTCGTCAGCCCGAAGTTGTACCTGAATGCATCTATGATCAACGTGTAGCTGCGCCCAGTAATGCGGTCAAACTGACATGAAGGACTTCTGGGGACGAATGGGGCATTGCGTGACGAATGCCACACCGTCTGCGTATGCTGTACGGTGCTGGAGTATCCCGTGCCAGTGCTATCCAAGAGTTGAAACACATTAAAGGGGAGATTCTAGTTGAACACAAACCACCGAGGTCCCCAGTTCCATGGTGGAGTTCGTCAGAGAGTTCAGCACGTTGACCTAAAATGATAGACATCAGTGGGCGATTGTGCGATGTGTATCCCTGCTTACGGATAGTTGATCTCCTTTCGTAGCAGATATTAAGGGGGCAGGAAACTGGCCATTGACCAAGACTCCACTATGCGTTGTTCTCTCGTCAGTAGATGTCCATTCTTCTCCAAGGGACAGAAACTTGTACCTTCGATTGAAACCGTCCGGCTGAAGAAAGTGGTTTGCGACCCGTGCAGTGTAATGCACGGTGGAGGATCGCACAAGGCAAACACACAAAGCCAGAGCGAGTAGCACTGTGTCCAGCATGATGGACAGCTCGATTTGAGGAAACTCGCTGTCTGGTTTTGGCACGCGCGTGGTCTTGGACCACCATCGACGCTTGTCTATGAGGAATTTCAAGAGCACCGATAGTATTCCATCACGTTTCACGCCGGCCAAACTAGCGTGCCGACACCCATTTGGTGACGGGACCTTGATATAGCCCGAGTAGACGCGATGCTTCGCAGAAGTGGTAGCGCACATTGCTGCATCAAGATGGCAGCCGAGCATGAGAAGAGAACACTGATGTATAAAGACGACTTACACGAAACTCAGCGTTGCTCCAAGGAGTTAATTGACTGATCGTCTTCTATTACCCTCGCATTCGGAGCCGACCTGCGTGAACTCTATAGCAGCGGCGATGGTTTTCCTAGCAGGCCATGTATATCAGAGAAGCATGTCCCGGTGACGCTCTGTTTGATGTTAAGGCATATCAAAACCTGGAGATTGAGCTTGTTCGTGAGTTCTCCGCGATGCAATGGTCACGGTGCGAGAGGACAGTTTTAGGTATGATGTGTTGTGGCTGATAGAGTCGATCGAGGAGAACATCGACCGCTAGGACGTGCTGTCGAAGCCGCATTGGTTGTAATGCTTTATCGGCCACGGAACCAAGTGGACCAGGCGTACATTCGTAGACGGTAGACCCCTTAAACACGTGAACTGAAGTTTCTCCACGAGGGGTCTTCACTGTGGAGAATGCGACGCGGGATCTATAGCCACGATGCTTGATGATTCAAAGACGGAAGCGTCACAGTAATAGAGCCACGGTACTGATTGAAGGCAATAGGCATCACAAAATTTGTTTCAGAGGGACTGGTAAGAGACAGGCTAACAAGCATCGCGTGGAAGGAAACGCTTCGATTCGTTGGCTCACGAGCGCACAGCCTGCCTAAGAAGATCAGCGCCGCACACCACTTGGAAAGAGATCGGGTCCAACAATATCTCCGACGTGCGAAGCCGATATCTGACTCAACAGCGTGCAGGAGTGACCGGGAACCGCAGTCGGAGACCGCCACTGTGGCCAGGGCTAAAAACAGCATGGACGTGTTGTCTGGATCGCGTGACTTTTACTTCTGTCCCTGTGTCATCCCACAGTAGTGCCATCCTTGCTAGATCAAACCATTGTGCACAGTGCAACTACCATATCTGCCCTACGCTTCCCCATGATATCGATCTGTGTTAAGGTATGAACGTGATATGCGGTGTACATAGCTCTGTTTCGTGCTATATCGGACTTGGGAACCCGCCTTGGTTCCACAGCCAAGTGGGTGCTCGATACCGGTGGAGTGACGCCAGGACCGAAAAGCCGGGGACTGCAAGTAAATATACCTCCTCATCACGGTATGGCGCACCCCTCACGCTTTGCTCACACGTTCGCATATAGGACAGGTTACCAGCATTCAGCGTGGAGTTTATAGCCGCTGTACCGATAGCATAGTGATCGTAGGACCCGCGAGGTTATCTGGGTATAACGGGCGCACGTAAGCATGGCTGTACGGTAAGTTATACATGCGTAGCGCCGCAATCATCACATTCTGCGCTTCAGCCTCATATGAAACGCAGGGCTCGGCGAATACTATATCTTGCTCAGTGTAACTTTTCCCGTCGAAAGGTGGACTCAGCGCGTGCGCTGAAGAGCAGAGTCCCGTCATGTCTGCACCGTTGGCCGCACCTTCAGTCCAGAATCCATCCGCTTCGACACTCTGGGGGCCTGTCTACATCGGCTTCTGCGTCACGACCGCCATGTATGGGTTTGCGGGTCGGCAGGTGATTATAATGGCACCGTTTCTGTGTGAGCTTAACGTGATCCTTCAGGCATACACGTACCTGTCGACATACAAACATGATCCGTGGCCTATCAGGATGCTGGTTGCCACCCTTGTGTACGTATCCAGTTCTCCTCGTTGATAACTTTATCTGACGGTGCCGTTTGTTAGTACGATAGATGGTGTAATCACGGGACTTTGTAAGCACGAACAAAACAGTGGACAAGCTTGATTATATATAACCACGAATTGAACAGTTGCAGCCACTCTTCATTATTACTTCATCCAGAATTTTGGCAACCTCAAGAATTTGGCCTCACTACCCACCACGCTTCCCGTTTACAACTTCCTCACGTCCCTCGTATTCCTTTTGGTTCAACTGTGAGTCCCCACTTCTACTCCATGGCACGCTTGTTGATGAGGTGAACTGGCAGGTTCTATGTGTACCGAATGATCAGGATTGGGAATGATGGCACCGCCTCCAAGGTACTCATCATGGTCGCGGTGAGTGCATTCAACGAATATGCATTTCCAATCGTTGATCCTGTGATTGGATTAGACAACTGCTACCCTATGCGGTTTCGTGCTTTCCATAGGTACTCGAACAGTTGATAATTTTTGCCATGCACCGTCATACAAGCCTTTTACTAGGTGCATCGATTGCGCTATTTAAATGTGACTCGCTGGAAATGTTTGCCAAAACTCGTTGGATGCAGGTAACCGTCTATCATACTGCGGATATTCCGCATAACTCACCTGTAATGACAATCCGAAGGCGGTGTCCTCTGCTACCACGGGCGTTCAGACCGTGGCGGACTTTACAATTACACTCTCGCTGCAATATCAAATCGGATCTTCAAGGACTGGGCTGAAGCAGATGGACGACTCCATAATCAAAATCTGCCGGTTCATGATGACTCGCGGTATCCTTGTCCTGTGAGCTATGAGTATAGGTCAATACTACTCTCGACTGACACCATGTCCGATAGCTTGTGCCACGCAGCGTTGTTCATTACATTCCTCGCGATCAAGAATTCGCAAATCTTTCTTATTTTCCACCAGCTGCTGCCGAAGCTATACAACCTTACTTTCTTCACGATGCTCGTGTCATTCGAGCCGCTGCGACTGGCGACGCGATCGCATCTTGAGGATGCCACTTCAACGAACGGTCTTGCGCAAAATATTCAGCTGGAGGTCGTGCAGGACACCGAGACATACGTGTTTGGATCTCAGACCACCAAAGCCAGCCCTCAGACCATAGCCAGCGAAGGCCACGATCACAGAAGTATGCACATCGACAAGTTGGTAAGCATCGCGTTAAATCCGACCACGAGACATTCGGCTGATGACCACCAAGCAGTCTCTCAACGGTTCGCTTGCGTAGTACTAGTAATCGATCTCCCTTCTTGGTCCGATCCGCATCTAAGTACTGAGATCTCCTGACGCGTCCTCCGATGAAGGTTAGCATTTTACCTCCGTCGATCAGGTCTAGATCTGTTCTGGCCGGAAGCGAGCAAACACGGTGATAACCCCGGCATAGCGAAATCGAATTTAATCTTGTACATGTATTCATGATAATGCTGAATGATATCTCGGTTGCCTGGATGCGTAGAGTCGCTCTGTCCTCCAAGACGAATTTGGGGCTCGGATCTCCGAGCCGAACCTTCGCTGGTTTTCAAGGCCTTTCGCCCAAAAAGGAAGGTACGACGTCACTTTATCACTGACGACTCTGATCTTAGGTAAGCAACCGTCTCTTGCCTTTCACCTTTGCATTCCGTCCTGAGCACGGACTGGTTTATTCCTCACATTTTCAGGCATGAAGAGGTCAATGATCAATCGCTGGCCGACGGCCCTTCAACGGTCTTCGCATACTTGCGCCCCAGCGAGGTCAAATGCGTCTGCACGACCTACAGAGTCGAGGCAGGATTTGGGGAAGAGGTCGCTCCATACGTCTTTCGACGCTCGTGCGGGCCCCAGTGGTCGTGTTGCGAGGGAGAAACGTAATGAACATGCGTGGCGTGGCTCCGTGCTGCCGACGCGGACGTGAGTAGAATGTAATTATGTCGTTTTCACAGAGCCTTAACTCAACGGAACTCCCAGGCGTCAACCCACGACCAACGCGGCTGCGAGCCACTCCGTGAAACGGGCCCCCAAGGTCTCTCGTGGATGGCAGCCCTCTCTGCAAGCCCTGGCTCTTTTCCGCGAGAAGTCAATCTTTGATCTCCCGCACTCCTTTGCGCCCGTATCCCGCATGTCCGAAGCCCGTGCATTCCACACTTCAACATCACGTCGCGCTTCCTCGCCATACCGCAGCCGGCCGCCGCCGCCGCGCAACCCAGAAGAGGTCACGCTCCGATACTATGTCGAGCGCAAAGCCCAGATGGACGAGGTCTCGGAGCGCAAGGCGATCGACGGGGAGCTCATGCCCGAGCTGTCAGCGACCATCGTTACAGGCGATTTCACGTCCAGCGTGGCCCCTCGTGAAGGGAAGGTCCCCGTCGAGATATACGTCGACGAGCACGGCGTGCATTTGCACGCTAGCGGGTTCGTTCCCCCGACCCCGGCGGTCGTGCACGAGGAAAATGGTGTCGTCGTCGACGGCCTGAGCGCAGCGACCCTGGAGGCCGAAGTCACGCTCAACGTCGATCGTTCTCCAAGCGCGTCGCCCGGTGACGAGGGCCTATTGACGACGGAGGCGAACGACGAGGTGAAGCCTGCCGGCAAGACGCCACCTACACCATCCCCAGCCGCAGCCGACCCTGGACCGTCGTTTAAACGCGCTCTGCATACATCGGCTTCGTCGCTTCGGGCGACGTCATCGTCCGCATCGGCGCCTACTCCATCTACCAGCCGGTCCAACGTCCGTGGTGTTCACTCTACGGCCACTCGCAGGGCCCCCAGTGCGAAGCCTCCTCGTACACCCGAAGATGCCGAACTGCGGTACTACATCGAGCGCAAGGTCGCCAAAGAATCCGTAGCAGAGCGCAAAGCGACGGAGGGGGAACTGATGCCCGAGCTCTCCGCGACGATCGTCACGGGCGACTTCCCTGCGACCGTCGCCCCCAGAGAGGAGAAGGTCCCGAAGGAGGTCTATGTTGAGACGATTGAGGGCGGCGTCCATCTGCACGCCAGCGGCTTCGTCCCGCCGACGCCCGCCGCTTTCCACGAGGAAGCCGGCGTAGTAACGGATGGGCTCAGCGCTGCAGCCCTCGAGGCGGACGAGCTGCTGAAATCTGCACCGACGTCTGACCAGTCGACTGGCGACGAAGGCATGACGCAGACGATCGAGAGCGACGAGGTCAAGCCCGCGGGCAAGACTCCACCGACCCCTCCGCCAGCATCGGCAGGCAGCCCAAAACCCGATTTTACGCACTGACACCTGGTCTTGCACGAGGCGACACGTTGCTCCTGCTCCGACGATACCGTACTGTACTGTAACGACCTCCGCCTCTGCGGAGCAAGGTCGTACATACATGCACCCGGATTATCGATGCTCGATTTTATCTCCCATCTGCGAGCATTTCTCACGTACGTATACCAATGCAATTCCGCAATGATTGGAACAAACGAGAAATAGTCGTAAGGAACGGCATGTCTGTCGAGGACGATTACAATCCACTAAATAAGGTTCGAAGAGTACTGGTGCAAGCCGGGAAACCGGAGTTCCAAGAGAGAGGGTATATACCACGCGAAACCACCGAGTCCGTAGGCGGTGGTGTCCTAGTAGTGAAACGTACGCATCTACCTCCTGCCTGAACCCCTGTAGCCGACTTGGAGAGTGTCCAGCTCCGCTTCGAGCCCCTTGATCGCGCTGTGCGCCATCTCGAGATCCTTGTTGAGGCGGTCGCGCTCGGCGATAAGCTGAGAGCGTGGTGAGTTAGCTTCTGCGCTTGGAGCAACGAAGAAAGGCTTACATGTTGCTCCCACTGCCTGAAGCGAGCCTCCTCCGCCTTGACTTGCTCGGTGAAACGCTTGCGAAGCGCCTCTTCCTCCTCCTTGAACTTGGGGTTGTCGAGCTTCTTCACCTTGGGCTCGCCGAACTTGCGGGTTTCCATCTGTTGCTGGCGGTAGTTCTCGTAGTGGTGCTCCTCCGTCGACGAGATCAGGTCGAGCATGTTCGTGCGGATCAGGAGCGAGCGAAGCTTGCGGAAATCGCAGTGGTTTTCGTTCTCGACTATTGATGGGATCGCAAGATCAATATACAGGCCGTCTGTGAGTGGAAAGATGTGCGTACCTTCGGCAACACCCCAGAGGTATTCACGACCCTTGACAGTGCGACCGTCGGCGGTGCGAACATCCTCAGTGGAGCCAATGATGGAGAAGGGCATCGACTCGAGGAGAATGCGCCCGTATTCAGCCTGAGCTTCATCCTCGGGGTCGATGGGGGGCTGGTAGATCCGGATACCCTGTGCGGCAATGACCTCGCGAACGCGCGACTTGAAGGTGAAGAGGTCGTTCTGAGTGAGCGTGTCCGCCTTCGCAATCACCGGGATGAGATTGACGCGCGTGCCGAGGCGCTTCATAATCTCGATGTCCAACGGCTTGAGACTGTTGAACGCGTGTTATTCCCCCACACTGTCATACAGGTAAACCGTCACTCACGTGTGTCCGGTAGGACGAATGAAATACAGGCACGCATGCACGCGCAAATCCGTTTTCTCGTGACGCTGAGGCTGTTGCTCCTGGCGCATGTAGGCCTCGTGCTGGTCGTCAATGAAGTCGACGATGGGCGCCCACGAGTCGCGGTTGTTGACGTAGTCGCCAAAACCCGGCGTATCGATAACGGTAAGCTTGACTTTGAATTGCTTTTCCTCGAGCTCGGCCTTGATGATGTCAACTTCGGTGAGCTTGTCGAGCTGTTTGTGGTGACGACTGTTGTAGTTCTTGGGCGCGGAGAGCTCGGTCGAAAAGAGCGTGTTGATGAGTGTCGTCTTACCCAACCCGGACTCGCCTTAGACGCCCAATTCAGCTACGATAGCTCCGAATGAAATGACAGTACTCACCGACCACCATGATGGTGAAGTGGGCGCCGCGCTTGGCGACGATTTTGTGCCGCTGGACGCGAACGAGTAAGTTGGGAAAACGAAAACATGACAGTGAGGCACTGGCTCACCTGGTTCGGCAAGTTGGCTATGCCAATCCCATCAGACGTTGGTGCTGGTGCGGACATCGTGGACGACGTTGAGGACGACGACGTGGACGACGACGACAGCCAAGGAAATGGCGCGCGGCAACGCCGAACCCCCGCCACGTGCAAGACGTTAGGCCCCTAATTCTGGGTTGCGCTCGTCCCCTTTGTCAGCTAACTATCTTGTGTTACTCAAGATCGGTGACTTGATGATACTTAGTCTCAATCTGCTCCATTTTACACGGAAATTAAACGCTACACCGACCCATGGATGGTTTAGCACCAACGAACCTTTCTCTCCCGGCGCTGTGCACGAGCCTCGCGTCTGTTGCGAATCATCAAACCTGATGAGCCTCGTGCTATCTTTGGCTCTCAACGCAGAAGCCGAAACCCAGAGATCGCGGACGGTGCAAGTGCTAGAAATGCCGTTGATGGCACTACTTATCCGAATCATTGCGAAGGCTGTCGCATGCAGGTCATTGCCTTTGTCACGGACACTGTTCCATGACTGCCATCGGACTCCCACTGTGGGGAGCGGACCAGGCACGGACGCGCAATAGAATCCCGAACCCGTACATAGTTGTCGTCGCATGTCACTTGCAGTCCACATCCAAGGCTATGCAGCATATAGAACAGCGACGACCAGATTGATCCAAATCGTCGACTGTTTACGATCTTCGCGCTCCTTGGAGACTCAGAATGCAGGATGTCGACCTCAAGCTAGGGCCTATCTATGGCACCATGCTCATCGGAGCGATTCTGGCTGCAATGTACTGTATTTCATCCCCTAACAAGCATCGCACACTTCTGACGCTTACCGCACTGGTCACAGATTTTTTGGGATATCCACCACCCAAGCATATTTCTACTACATCACCTTCGACGATTCTAGGGCTACGAAATTTTATGTGAATGCGCATTCCATTGAGCCCCGTTCTTAACATGACTCTGTTCATCTGTGCAGGTTGCGGCGTTATGGTATGCACCATTCCATGCAGATCCCACCAAACTATCGTCGAATCGTTGCCCAGGACTTGCGATGCCATGAGTATTGCGTTAACTTTCCATGGCCTTTACTACTACTTGGTCGCCAATTACGCAAATGTATCCGTGATTCCGATGATCGTATGGAGCTTATCGGTGGGTGGTGCTCTAACGAACTGTTGAAACGATATTTGACCCGATTAGCTTGAAAGCATGTTTACCGTCAGCATTTCACCGAACGTGCTTGATGCTATACTAAGAGATCATGACATCGCAGTTCACTACCATTTTCATCTCGCACTGGTTCGTGATCTCGAAGAATGTCCACTCAGGCGGGTCAAGACGCTACTTACCAACGCTGATAGCTTCTTCATTCACCGCATATGGATAGGTGAGCACACATCGGTATACACATCGTTCATTCAAGTATATCTGAAATTGCTCTAGTCTCGAAGATGCACGCAGTTTGTGCGATAATTGTGCGTACCTTTGGTCCGTTTACGATGCATACGTCTTATTCCGTTACAGGTGATTGGGGCAATATCTGGATACGGTGGGTGCGAACTTTCTCTTGGTTCGATTAGCACGCACTGATCGCAAGTATAGTCTTGGGACTCGGTACGCTTCACGTCTTTCAATGCACTCCCCATAACCTTACAATATCACTCTGTGTAGCTCTTACTATCATTGCGTATGTTTTGTTCCAGCCCTATGTTCGTACTCATGATTAACGTATGTTGAATGTCAGGTTGAAAGTTGGAAAATGGGAGGCTCTGGGACTGCATAGTACCCTGGTACTTGACTTTCCGTCAATCCTTGAGTTGTGCTCACGACGAACAGGTTATATTTACTTCCAACAAGGTGATGGAAACACTCACGGACGTCGTTGTCACCATCACACTGGTCTTCGTCCTCCACAATCAGAAGACAAGGTGGACCAAGCACGTACAATTTATTCGAAGACGTCACAGACGAATCTAACGTATCTTAGGACGCATTACCGATTAAGGCGCCTCATCTTCTTTCTCGTCAACCGCGGTGCTTTTGCCGCGTATGTGATCTAATAATACTCGCAACACCATACTCACCTTGCAACCAGGTTTCTACAGACGTGTTATCTCATCACGGTAACGAAACGACAAATTATTAGGTCTTCCCATCACTTACTGAGCCACGGGCAGTTCCTGATATGGAGGGACTTGCTGATCTGGGTCCCATTCCACGTAGCACTGGGAAAAGGTATTTCCTACACCATATAGCAACGACAAATGCTGAAAGCTGTTGTCAGTATATACCAACTCGGTTATCGCGGTGTAAGTCCGTACGCAACAATAGATGTGACCGCGCTAAAACAGTATCTGGTAGCCTGAACAGCCGCGCATCCACTCAACTCGCAGAAGACTCGCAGGCGTACGATGCGACAGGAAACGCTACGTCCCTCAGTTCCAGCATCCGCGTTCGCGCCCGCGGCCTGCATACTGTTACAAAGCTGGCTAATCTGGTATGTGTGTTCTCCGGACGAGGCGCAATATAATCACCATCGTCCATTACAGTCGTCACCGCAATCGGATTTGGAATACGAAATGGGGAAGGTAGCGAACGCAGGGGAAGGAGGATCTTCTATTCAAAGTTGAAGGCCCCAACTTGGACGACACGACTCTCAAAACGCTGCTATCCAATGGAAACTGACTGGGCAGCTTCACGACGCGCTTATGAGACCACGAACTTGATTCTTGCATGTTCATTCCTACAGTTCTGTTGGCATTCTACGATCATTGTGAATGTTACGTAGACCAGCTCGCGATGCAATATAACCACACAAGGGGTGCGTTATCGAAGGCGCGCAAAAGCCTGCCCAATCTGCCGCAATCTAGATACCGAGAGCTTACCCCGGCCGAAGATCCTCGCTCTGTGGAATGAGCGTGCGCACCGATTCCTGCGTGATATGCGCGTTCGAACGATCTGCAGTGTTGTAGCTCCGAAATACGAGGCAGCTGAAAGTCGAGGTAAGGCTGATGAAAGGCGTGTTACCTTGAAATCACCGGTGGCCCGCGCGTTCCCCACCAGCCGAGCCCTGCCCGCTGGGACTGCCAGCATACACAGGCAAGCCGTTCCAGACCAGCAACATTCGTGTGCCGTTGCCTGGTCGGATGTGGAGCATCTAACGTGGAGAACGGCTGCAAATGTGCGCTCTGAACAAGATGTCGGGTACGTTCGTGGAAGACGTCGCACCAACTTCGAGACAGCCGACTTCACCCGCCTGCGCAATACATGCGAGTCTCGACGAACGCGACCATGAGATATCCATCGTTTGCGATTATCGATATCCATCGAGCGCGAGCGAGCGGATCGTTCCAGGCAGTGCGGTAGAGTTTACAGCGGTCGCAATCGAGCCACCACATATACGTGCAGGGGTCCACAGGCACAAAGGCGCATGAATCGTCAGCGCCGGTTGACGCCGACCTGGATCATCGAAGGCCGCGAGTATTGTTCAAGCCGGTGGTACGGGCCAAACGTGGGCGCAAGTTACATATGGAGAGGGGCAAAGGACGAAGCCAGCAGCTGTCGCGACTCGCCACTCGTGTTGCCTTGCGCCGTCATGATCAACATGCAACAACCTGATAACATGGGCTATCATCCCGCTGTTTCGCTCTCGAATCGATCCATATGATGATCAAGAATGTCATTCTCCGAAAGTTCCAGGCCGAACATTCCGCAGCTCGTGCAATCACGATTCGGGGAGGCTGGCAGGACCTAGTCGTACACACTCATACTTCTTCGGATGGCATGCATCGATTACACGGATTCTCTGCAAGTGTTGCTGTCGTCATAAATTACTCGGATCGCAAGTCGTCGGACGCCTGGTCAAGGTCGGGAGTGAGCGCTAGTGAGCAATGACCCGCCGCGTGTCTTTTGCGGAGATGTTGACCTTAGCCTTTTGTCCCACCAACACCATCCAGCAATCTCTGCGGATGCCTTGCCGGTCCATACATGGATCGAAGCTATACCTATCCATGATCCATGGGAGAGATCGGAGAGATGAATGCGCCAGAACTGGTCGCTAGCGCTGAATGCGCTCAGACCAGCCGTGTCTGGTATGGCTCGCTCGGCTTCGTGCATCATCCGATACAACTGTTTCTTCAAACTCTACTCCATTATCGTGCAACCGATGCATGTTCCTCGTGGTCTCACCTTCGGTCGTACGTCCGACCATATCGTATGATGATTCGATCTCGTCATGGCAGTGGGGCATGGGACTCTAGCGACGAGAATAGACCACAGGAAGGCTTAAACCCATGATGGAGGTTACCTTATTCTATCTCGTCTCACGACAGATTCGCATATAAAGTAGGCTCTCCTTGGTTGCTGTGCGAGAGACTCGTGTTTGAAGGCAGTTCACCATCGAACTTGATCGACATGCTCGCTTCGAAGTGTTCATGTTTGGACCTGCGGCGTAGGCTCGGACCTTGGGTACGAGTCTTTCAGCGGTGCTACGTGTATTATTGATATCTCACACCTTTATCAGATTGAACTCACCCGAGTTGACAAATTTGCCGGGACTATGGTGCTCTTTTGGCCGTATGGTGTGTATTGTCCGTTCCCGGCCTCCTCCACTAATCATCCGTATCTTCAAGCGTGGGCCGTGATGATGATCGCCCGAATCATACATCTTCCTGTATACCAAACCGCGATATATTTATGGAACGGCTTCGTTGGCGCATGCTTGGGACACAGGTATATCAGTCTCTTTGCGATGAATTCAGTATCACTCATTCCTGATTTCTCAGTAAGCCTTGTAGTGCAAGTCATATTGTTTCTGTTCTGACATGCTATTATAGGTGCAGGATGCATATGGAATGACATACTTGATCGCGAGTTCGATCGTCAAGTCGGTAGGTCGAGCCATCGACCTTCGCGTGCAACGTGCTCAGCACCCGATAGAACGCACTACGCACCGACCCATAGCGGACGGTAGGATATCGGTGCGGGGGGCGTTGGTGTTTCTATCTATTCATCTATGGGCATTGAATTGCATAAACAGGAATCTGCATTCGCATGCGTGAGTACATCCTTGAACGTAACGTCGTGATCATCCGTGGCCTGATTTGTGCACCAGTTGGGTCTTAGGGCTAGTTTCTATATTTGTTCTTCCAGGCCTATATCCGCTCATGAAGAGAGTTACCTATTGGCCCCAGGCTTGGCTGGGTGAGGAACCCGGTATCTATCATCTTCCCTAGATTGAACATGGCAAAAGGGCTCGCTATGAATTGTGGTATACCGATGGCGTCTCTTGTCATGACGGGCGTGATTACCCGCCAGGCTACTATTCTCGGTGTAGGGGCATGGTTGTCAGTGTCATTCGCGTGTTGTTAGATGACAAAGCCGCTCATTCGCCTATTTTAGTTGGACTCTTTGGTACGGTGAGAGCGTTACATTACTCCGATTTTATATATTTCTCTCGTTTGACCCCCGTCCCCTCTGCCACAAGACACTATATACGCCTGTCAAGACAAGCGTGACGACGTTCAGGCCGGCGTAAAATCGACCGCACTCCTTTTCGCCCAATACACCAAACCGTTACTCGCCATCTTCGGATGCATCCTTGTGCTATCTCTCTTAACATGCGGAATCGAAAACGACAGCTGCGGCATCTATTACGCAATCTCTGTGTGTATCACCGCATTTCTTCTTGCCCAGGCAATTTGGCAAGTAAACCTGGACAACCCCGTGAGTTGCTGGAAGACGGTCAGTCGCTCTGTGATCCAACATGATTCAGGCACATCTGAGCTCACCCTCGTATTACTCAGTTTAATCGCAATGGGTTCTGGCTTGGTGCCACGGTATTCGTTGGATTTACCGCTGACTATATCGTCGCGCTCCATAACTCGCCACAAAACCCACTGGCCTGACAAAGATTTTGCGTGCATGCTGATTTGCTCAGGTCAGGGCGCGAGTAGGCCGCAGTCATAGTGCTTGGGGGACATTCAATTAGATTTCGAACTCAGTTGTATCGGCGGACGCTACGCAACTTCTTCCCAATCATTAATGGATTTTGTTGGGATGAGGTATATGGGTTGGCGATCGCAACGCCTGGAGTGACGGTGGCTAAATCCGCGAGCAACGGAGAAGCCCGCGTGTCCGCGGCGAAGTTGTCTCCCCAGGCAGGCTCAAGAGCGTGAAGACAGTCGTTCACACAATGGAGCGGCAAAACTGGCAACCAAAGTTTCCTCTCGACCGATGTTCTCACTTTTCAGTACGCCCTGAATGCGATATTTACTTATTGGCACTCGCCGAAGCACCATAATTGACAGTGACACCACCGTGCTCTGCGAGAAATTCAGGTAGCTTTCTGGTGAACTCGGGCAAAGTTGACTCCACAACTTCGGGCGCCTCCGCCACCACCGGCCGCGACTGTTCTGGGCCGTCCCGACCGGATATCAGAAATCAGGGCAGCTCTCAGGGACATGCGAGCCTGTTCTTGAGCGGGCATAACGACCTCATCGGAGTTCAAGTCAGGTGGCGCAGCACCAGCTCTCTCTTCCTATGTCTCATTGTCTGTCTCTTATCTTTGCTCCACGTGCTACTCAGATCCGCGTCGCCCTCGACTACTTACGCTACTTTCGAGCGGGGATTATCCTTGAATGTCGAGTTGACTAGTTATCATCCAATGACGCAAGGCAACACTGTTTGTCATCGCGAAGGCTCCGAAGAGGGTGGTGACCACAAGGTGCAAAGCTAATCTCAGTTCTAATGCCATGGGCGCAGCATGGCGGTACTTACGTCGTGTATTAGATGTTTATATGCGTGGTTCATACTGTACGGTGTGGTCTTCCAAGTCCAGTTCGTTAAGCCACCGACCTATGAACTTCACGGTCGGAAGAGACCCGTTTATAGTTTACACGGGTGGGACATTGCACCTACTTACAGCCATGGACCACGTTGACGATGTATTCATATCAAGATAGACGTAAGGAAAGCGGGCGATTTCCTTTTCAATCGCTTATCCTGTCTTTGACTGCCATCCCCTCTGCGAAAGGCTTCATTACTTACTGTCAAGACAACCCGGATCAGAGATCCCGATTTATCGGAGGTTCCTGTCTACCTATGCATTAAAAACCACTCAGTGAGTCCATTTAAACCTGTCGGACGAGGACTCCACGTCCTCAATTGCGTCCCTGTTGCATCATCCTCGCGTACCACATGGCAAACCAAATGCATACGGATGTCCTCATCATCGGAGCTGGCCCTGCGGGGTTGATGGCGGCAATGGCAATGGCGAAGCTCGGCATTGATTTCCAGATTGTCGATAGACGGTACGCTGCCCAGTAGTTCATTATATCAGCGCCCGCTGAAGGACGATAATGTCAATGCCAGGCTTCCGGGAGAGATAGCAAGCCATGCAGACGGAATTCAGCCCCGTACCATGGAAATTATGGACAGTCTCGGTATTGGCGATGAATTTAGGCGGCTAGGGGTTCACCTGCATCGTATGGTATGAAATCATGCAAACCGACTCATGCCAACGGAGTCTGACTATATCAGGCCCTGTATGGCTATCAGCCCGACCTGGGAATCACAGTAATTTGTCGGTTACATTGACCACGGTAACGAACTGAACTAGGGCAGGTGATGAAAGAAGTTGAAAATATAACCGAGCCCTCCGTTCGTTACCCTTATGAGGTAAAAATGCACAGAGTCAATGGATAATGTCTGATTGTCACGGTTGTAGTTGATTTTACCATCCGAGCTTATTGAAGGTATCCTACGGAATGGATTCGAAACCGAGAGAACCCATGTCATGTACGAAACGATGGTGACCCATCTAGAGGTATCCTGCGATGATCTTTATGGGGGTCAATACCCAGTCAAGGTAAGCTTTGCTGTTTTTTTGTGCCCCGCGTGCGTCTTGTATGCTGTGAAGACGACAGTGCACCGCTCGGAATCTAGCGCGAGGACATCGAATGTGACTCCAGAGCAGGAACTCGGCGAATTATGTTCCTCAAAGTTCGAAGGTACTGCCGAGGAGATCTTGTCGAAATTTGTTATTGCGTGCGATGGTGAGAACGTCTCGCTCTTGCGCATATTGGTCTAAGCTCCTGTAATGATGCAGGCAGTCATTCCTTCGTACGGAGGTTCCTAGGCATTGGCATGCAAGGTGAACGTACAGGTTAGTCGAGCAGTATGCAATCTATAGTCCTTTCCGTTGACCTGGTATAGCTACACAATGGGGGGTCGTTGACTTTACACCAAGGACCAACCTACCTACACCGCGCGCCAAGAATATAATTCTGACGCAGTCAGGCACTGCGATAGGGGTACCTTCCAACGAACTGTCGGCGCCGATGAGATCTTTATAACTCATTTCTTAGTGGATACCCCGTCCCCATGCCACAGCAAGAGCGTATGTCAACTTGGGTGCGCGAACAGACGCCAGCGTCTCGGATACAGACGTCGACTCAATTGACCAGGTCTGTATCCCCCATAACTCGGACTTGCGTTTTGCGCCCGTTCCAATTGAGCTTTCATATTGTCAGGTCATTCGTAACGGGGTTAAGCCATACTCACTGAGTCTTTTGGACGTCACCCGGGCGTCAACATACGTTGGTGAGTATGAACGACATATACAATGTCGTATAACTCAAACCGTACCTACCTGCCCGTTCAAGTCACGCAATGTGTTGCCACCGCATTTTCGCACAACAAACGGATATTCCTTGCCGGAGACGCATGTAAGACCGTTGATTCAGCGACCAAGTCTCTACGTCGATGTTCTTGATGTGCATAATTAGGTCATACGCACTCTCCTAATTCCGGTCAAGGAGCCAACGTATCGATGGGAGATACGTACAATCTGGGTGATGATCGCGTGATACTCAAACGTTGAAAGTCCGCTAATGAGCGCTACAAGCTTGGAAGATTGCTGGTGTCTTACGCGGGTCTTTCTCTCTATCGTTGCTTGATACATACGAGAGAGAGAGGCAGATGTTCGCGCGCGATCTCATTGAATTTGACAAGGAAATGTTCAAGATTGTCGCTGTTCTGGGATCTTCCTCACTGCCCCTTGAATACGCAGAGTATGTGCACATCTCCATGGGTGGATCTCTTCTGACTACAAATTGTTCCACAGGCTGTGGCACAAACATAACATGTTCACAACGTGAGTGAGCCGCTTGTCAACCGGCATTGCGTGTCCACATCTGAGGCAGATTATAGCGGAGTAGGCATCCAGTATAGCTCAACACTCACGCGCTGGCAGCACAAGGATCTCGCACCAGGAATTTGCCTCGGAGCGAGACTGCCAATAGCCGAGATCATTCGCAATAGCGACTGGAGACCATTTTGCACGCTTGACCTCCTCATCTATGATGGAAGATTTAAGCTTCTCTTATTTGCTGGTGATGTCGCCGACGACTCGATCTCCGAAGGGTTCTCGCTATTCACGTTGGAGCTGGAGAAGTTGCGGGGTAGTTGGAGCAGTGAACGGAAGGAAATAATCACGATTATCGCAATCATCAAGGCTCGAAAGGATAGCCTTTTACACAAAGCTGCTTGGCATCATATGACGAATAACATGGAGTACGTCGCACAATTTTTACTAGACATAGAAGCTCACGGAGAATACACAGGGTCTACCTAGACACCGATCGAGGCCCTTATAGCCTGTACGGCATCAAAAGGCCTGTTTCGGTGCTGGTGCGTCCGGACGGTCATACTGCTCAACTCACCACCTTGGACAAGGAAGGGATCACAATGATCCACAATTATTTTGAGAATGTATTTTGAGATACTCCTATGGCAATATACAATTCCCTGTCCGAATACACGGCATAGCTGACAGGCCCCCGATGTGGGGTGATCGTACATACATGAGCCCAACCCCATCATCGATAGTATTCTTAAAGCATTTGAGATATCGGCCGCAGTGGTCAACATTCGAGATATTGGCAGAGGTATTTGGTCCAAAATTATCATGATGCATTCCAACTCTAAGAGCGGCCGGCATGCTATAATACTACCACAACGGCTCAGAAAGGGTCAAAGTCTCAAGATGCGGCTGTGAGATGGCTGTAGGATATCTCAGAGATTTGACGATGGCAGTTCATGACACGACTGGGATCAAGCGATGGCAATGTAACAAAATGGCGTAAAGATGGGAAGCGAGCCTCGGCAGCTCAGCAATCTCCGGAATCAATCCGAGGAACCGGAGCAAGATCTACAATTCTCGTCCTCGGGCTCTTTACTATAGCTCAGGCTGTTAACCCCACGCGCTGCGCTGGGTCTTATCTCACCGGCTATGATATGCACGACACCACGATAAATCTAAGTACTACCCCATGTGAGTATTCACACTCCCACGACTGGCGCTAAGGGGGAGGATGACGCTCAACGAGGCTGGTTCTGGTCTTGAAATGGTAGATATCGAATGGTAACACCTCCACGACTCAACCTGAATATTTTAGAAATGACCCAGGAATTTCCAGTGCAAGGGGTCAATAACACATGCAAATGAGCTTTACTGCTCATGTGTACATAACTTAACAACCTCCTAGGCTGTTCGTACTCTATTTAATATGTGTAGGAGCCGATATTTACCCGGGGAAGATGCTCGGATTGATGCACGCTTGTGGCCCTGTATGATCCATGATATCCATGCCAATACCAAGATTGAGAGACGACTGGATGCCAACAAAGATATGTCATTACATATTTGTGTGCCTGCACCGAGTGGCGCAGGATTCTCCTCAGGCATACTGCCACGGCGGCCTGATTGGTGACCAAACCACTGACAACAGGATCGCTCTACTATATAAGCCGCAAGGTTACCTTTGACTGAGTCCATCCGCACAGTCGCCATGAACACATCCAACCCCCGGCCTATTGTCCTTCCAGATGTATCGGCGCTATGGACACCGGCCTTCGTTGGCTTCTGCTTGACCACGGCCATGTATGGGTTCTCCTTCCGACAGGTAGGGTTTGAGCCTCTGAGGAATATAAAAAATAATGTTCTTGCTGAAACACCGTAGGCCTATACATACTTGACAACCTATCCAAAAGACCCCTGGGTCATAAGGGCCATGGCCATAGTCCTTTTGTACGTTGCTTCTCCGTCTATGAAAATCGTACATTTCTTCTCAAAGTCATCTACAAGAATGATAGATGGTGCCGTGTCGGCCTTATGTGAGCAGCACGGTGCACGCATTCCGCTCATCGAGTCTCTCTAAGTCGTTGAAAGTTGCATCAGCGCTATACTACTACCTAATACAACATTTCGGCGAGTACAAGACGCTGATCAATGTCCCCGCCACACTCTCCACATACAATATGCTTACGTCTTTCATATTCATTATTGTGCAACTGTAAGTCATCATGTGCTGACCGCAAAGTTTCCGAGGTCATACATCATGTATCTCTCCTCAAGATTCTTCGTGTACAGAATGGATCGCATCAGTGATGGAGACATGGTAACGAGGTTGCTAACCGCTGTGACCGTGAGTCCGTCTATTCCGCTCCATGCGCCACTGATCAGTACTCCAGTTCGTTGCCGTGATTGGCGGCTTTTTGCTATCTATAGGTGATGTTGATTATTGCTTAGTCTGTCCTCCTGCTGATACAAAATTTGCTGCTGATCAGCCGCCTCGGTTGCTCTCTACATGGCATCATCCCTACTGGATTTCGAGAATACAAAGTGGAGCAAGGTGAGCAAAAGCATGTGTTCGGTCGTCTTGGAAACTTATAACCGTCTACAATAGGTTGTATGTGCATTAACCGAAGGTGTTCTGACCTTCGCAGACCTTGCCATCACGGTATCGCTACAATACCAGATGAAACAAATGAAAACCGGGTTTAAGCAAACGGACATACCGATCGTTCAGTTTGTCAAACTTTTGATAACTCGTGGTGTTCTTGTTCTGTGAGTTCGTGACATGGACAGCAGTGTAAACTGAGTGACGGAGGAGCCTCAGAATATGTCACGCGGCGTTGTTTGCGACTTTCATCGGGGTGGCGAAGAACGAAGTCTTTCTATTGTTCCACCAGTTGCTGCCAAAATTATACAACCTTACACTCTTCACGATGCTGCTATCTTTCGAGCCCCTACGCTTGGCCCCACGCCAACATACCGAAGATGCGACCCCGACAAACGGCATCTCTCAAAACATTCACTTGGAAGTAGTTCAAGATACGGAAACATACCTCTTCGGAAACCATGGAGCCAAAACGAGCCCTCAAACTGGTTCAACTGTAGAAGAGGATAGAAGCAACGTACGACTTGACAAGTTGGTAAGCATACTATATCCAGCTACTCGTGAGACGTACTGAAGTCACTTACCCCAAACCAGTCCCTCAACTCTATTTCGGATGTGTAATAGAAATTCACGGTCGTGTTTCATTTCCGACCGTGTATGGGGCACTAGGAGATGAATGGATGAGTGAGGCTCGAGTAGGATGGCGGAGTGATGGGGATTGGTCTCGCAGTCGCGGCCTTGACTTCCAAATCTGGTAGCCGGCGGAGAATACGTTGAGAAGGGGCTGGTATTGCCGGAAATTTTGAAGAGACCTTCCGTAGCATCCGTAGGCTGACCTTCTTGAATCGCACCCGTTCCATCTCCGCTACGCCGTTCGCACCATCGGCCATTCCGAACGCTACGACACTGCACGCCGCTTCGCAACTCTCATGCCTGTCAATACAAGCGTGACGACGTTCATGCCGGCGTAAAATCGACCCCACTCCCTTTTGCTCAGTACACCAAGCCGTTACTCGCGGTCTTTGGATGCATGCTCGTGCTATCTTCTACTGGCATGCGGAATTGCAAACGACAGCGGCTGCCTCTATCACGCCGTCGCTGTTGTATCACCGTTTCTTCTCGCCAAGGAACTCTGGCAAGTAAACCTGGACAATCCCGTGAGCTGCTGGAAGATGATCAGTCCGTCTGGGTTTCAACGCGATTCCGGCGCACCTGAGCTCATTCTCGCGTTGCTCAGTTTAATCGCAATGGATTCTGGCTCGGTACCACGGTGTTCGCTGGACTGACCGCTGATTATATCGTCACGCTCGATATCTCACCACAGAATACACTGATCTAACGAAGATTTTTTGTGCGTGTTGATATGCTCAATTCAGGTCGCTAGTAGGCTTGGGACCGGGGGCATTGGACCGGGTTTCGAGCTCATGTATCGGCAGATGCTGCGCAGCTTCTTCGTGGTCGTTGGTGGGTTTTCTCGGCTGCCGTGCTCGGGGCCGCGCGTCTCCCGTGGTCGGGGGTATTTTCCGTGCTCGGGGCTGCCCCGCTCCCGGCGTTGCGTGACGCCCGGTCTCTCACACACCGCTCTGCGCGGCCCTGACCTGCTTTGCTCGTGCGCCGCTCGACGCCGCCCCGGTGCCCCGCGCTCGGTGGGTGCGCCGCAGCCGATTTGACGCGCTCATTTCTGTTAAATGTCGGGCGGCATGTCGGGCGCGGAGCGCGCTTGACCCGTCTGCAATGCGAGGGGTAAGATTGCTGGGCAAGCGCGTAAGGCTACATCGGATGCGACGCGAGTAGATATGTATACATGTACAGCAATCAGATTAGTAGTGAGCACTGAACGCGCACTGACTTCTCATACTCCAACAATTTCAGTATGGCTGACTGGATGTTAACCATAGAGCTTGTTGTATTGTAATATGTAATGCAATATATCAATGCCATCTGTTTTGGCTTCCTATGAGATGATACAATAAGATTGAATATACACGACCAAACTCTGGAGACATCTCACAAGATGAAGTCTGTGATTTGTTTGGTATGTTTGGACCAAAATATGCCCAAAAAGTGAACAAAATTCTACATATTTGTGCACATTTTGCCCAAAATGTGGCAGATGCTAAGGGGGGACCTTCTAGATTTCCTTCTTTTTGGACTTATGCGACGATCTACGTGTGTTGGGCGATAGAAGGACGACCATCGGCTCGCCCGCTTGCCTACCCTCCACTGCCTCTCACACGCGAGTCATTCCCTCGAATAACTGCTACATTGGCCTATGTCCATCGGCACGAGACGTTCTCCGGGGTCGTAAGTATTCTACATCGAGAGATCGAGGATAGCATTCAGCCCTGCAATATCTCAACATGCTCGTTCCTTCAAGCAGGCGTTGCAATCACCTGGCTCGTGAAAGAGCCCGGGATGTGATGAACCTGGGTCAACTTCCATCCGGCCTGAGAGAACACCTCGATAAAATTGTTGATGGTGCGTTCCTTTCCGTTAAGAAGTGTATACATCTGCATTAACCAAAGAATGTGAGTGCTTGCCACCATCAGAGCCATTTGATGCTCACATGAAGATCCGCCCAGAAGACGGGTGCGGCCGCAACTCCCATGTTCGGGAGCAAAGGCGGCGGAGCAGCCGGGCGTGTGTCACCGGGAACAGTCTTCGAAGGGTCGACAGGACTGGCGTACGGGACGACCTGGTCGACGATGACCAGCTTTGTCTCAGACGTGGCGGCTTCGCGCAGCTGGTGTAAGATCTGGACGCAAGCCTTGTCCGAATGATCGTGAAGGATGCTGCGAAGGAGGAAAACGTGAGCGTTCTTGATCGGTTGCGCAGCGAAGAAATCATGGACTGAATCTCGATCAGTATCATGTCAGGGCGAGTACAGCGGCGGACCACACCTTGGTGCTCCGCCTTTCCAGCCTCGAGATGTCCCGGAAGTTCCGCAGACCAGTACTACACCAAAGTCAGGAGCATGTGCGATGCGAAAAGATGATGCACGAACCACTTTAGCCAGCTCGATCACCGGGGCGCGATCTTGGTTCACGATGCGAAGGTCTGGATTGGCCTTTGCGATGACCAGGGACGATGACCCGATACCGCCACCCACATCGACTACAATGGCCCCTTTCGGCAGATCGTTCCATTTAAAGCCTGTGAAAAGCATGGTCAATCCCGATACAGATGCCATGAATTCACGTTCGACCACCCTTGGAGGATGTTATCGGGAGGGTCGACCTTGGTAGTCGCAATGTGGCCGACCGTGAAACGGTCGAGCCTGTACTTGTTCTCCGGTTGTTCGAACCATGCCCACATCGGCTCCTTCGTGTTGAATGCCTTTGCGAATGGTGAAGCTGTGAGGTCGTCCGACAACGCGGTGGATGGATCGGACAGAGTCTCCGTCAGGTAAGCAGAGCTCTTGAAGGCCTCGTCGGTGCTATGAATATGGTGAGTATCGCGTTTCCACTGGGTTGGTATGTTTCGGGATGCTTACATATGCTCGATCATCGCAGATATTCCGGAAGTTCCTTGGAACTTCTCAGATGCGCTATAGTAACATTAGGTATGTGCATTACTCGTGTCAAGGGAAACAGAGACTCACCTGTAAAAACATTCTTTCGAAGGTTTTCCTTTATCTAGTACTGAAGACAGACGATTGTTGGTGAAGACGTCTGGGGATAACTCCTTATAAATATGGTGGGACGCAAGCAAGCGAAGAATTCGAGCTGTGCGTATTTCAGATCTTGAACGTGTTTAGTAATTTCCTCACAAACCGATCTTGTCAGAACTAGTGCTCGCTTTCGCGCCGATGTCCCGAGCATGCAGTCCCTGAAAAGACTCGTAAGTCAGACTTCTCTATGCATGATAACTACAGCTCACCTGAGGTCCTGCTTCGCGTAGAATCTCGGTAATATTGAATGTTGAGGCGGCACGAAGGCAAGACGACAGATGCATCTACGTACTCGAATTCTGAGCATGTATTAGGCGTCAGCACGGGCAGACTTACCGAGAGAGCGGCAGATAGCAAGGAAAGCGGAGGCGGGCGCAAGAGCGCGGTCAGCTGCCCTGCTGCGGCAACGATGACGCTCGAAGCAGCTACAGCACCGGGCTCTCTTGCAACGCCTTCAGATGCGTTGAACGGGTTGAACGGCTCGTCGAGATCAGGGAACGGAGCCGATGCGTTGTTGTATACTTTCTCAAGATCTTGCACCGCTGACGATATCAGGGTGGACAAAGCACGAAGAGTAGCTAGACCGGACATGGTGGTTACGTCCTGCCGGTGAGGACGGCGTCTTGAGAGCGGCGATGAGGAGATGCGAGGAAGCTCAGATAGACAGTCCACAGAAGTTGGGTGACTTAACCGTGAGTTGGGTCGGCATATCATGCTTTGAAAATGGTCGCCTTCGGCTCGAATCTCGTTGAAGGTGATTGTTGAATGTGCTTGTCGAATCTTGGACGCGTCTGTCGCCGCTTTCGGCCCTCAGAAGCCTGGTGCTGCCGAGTCACGATGGTAACTCCTGACACACAGAGATGCATGAGCAGAGCATGACACGATAAGCTGTGGCACAGATGGATGTACGCAAGTTTGCGATCGAAACGGGACGTTATTGCCGTTGCGGCATGGGTACGAGCTTTCGGCACCGAGGTCTTATCCGCCACCGAATCAGTGCTCTTGCAGGGTTGCGGTGCCTGAACGCCCATCTTGAACCTAAAAGCCCGCATCGCCGTATGGTCAAAACAATTATACACATCTTCTGGATCGGAACATAATGAGAATCTGGTCCCGATTTGCGCCCGCAGGCCGTGCGCATGTCTCAAAGCATCCTCAACACCAAGTCGCATACCTCGGTCACCCACTTGAAGTAACTACATTGGGTGGAACTCGCCTCTCACCTATTCCGGCTCTGTGTGGAAACTTCAGTGGGTATTCACCTCCAGCTGATATGGTCCCTTCATCCTTGGACTATATATCAAACCTGTACAGGCTATAGATGCCTTGCCGTATATATAGTTGATCCCAGGCGTATTTGGTGGCCAATCGGGGTCAAATCCAGGGCGCATTTACGCCCTTTACGATCCACTGAGATGCCGATCACGGCTTGTAGGCCTGCTAAATATTACGTAGGCCTTGCTATCAACTCTTATATAACGTAATACGCTGCAGTGCTCCCTCATGGCCGGGTTCTCAGCAGTGTCCAGATAGCAGATGGAGCTACCATATGGAAGCTCCAGGGTGCCGTCGGCTTCTGTACTACCACCGCTATGTACGGATTTTCAGCGCAGCAGGTAGGTGTACTAAAACTTCACATGACCATGCTCTTACCGTCTGTAGGCATATATATACCTCACAACATACACCAAGGATCCGTGGGTTATAAGAGCCATGGTCAGCGTACTGGTGTAAGCTTCAAAAAACCTAGGTCCGATAATATCAGGCTCACTGTGTTCAAGTTTGATCGATGGCGCAGTGACCGGCTTACGTGAGTCGTATTAGGTCTAAGAGTGCGAAGCTCATAATCCAAAGTAAGCACATGTATGAAGTCGCGGCCACGGTTTACTTTTACTTCATTCAGCATTTTGGACACCCTTTGTCATTAGCAACAACTCCTGGCAGTCTCTCGAGGTACAATATGCTTGCTTCCTTCATATTCCTTATTGTACAGCTGTGAATGGCCGGCCACATACTCTTTTGCGTCCATAATGGAGGTCCCTCGCAGATTCATCGTCTATAGAATGGAGAGCATAAACGATGGCGACACCAAAATGAGGCTACCAACGCTGGCTACCGTGCGTAAAGTGTGTATGGTCTGCGTCTTAAACCTAATCACGATGATCCGGTTCAGTGATTCGGTTATCGGGTTCCCGCTTTCTATAGTTAGGCACCAGACACACTGCGCAATGCGACTTTTGAGCTGAATGGGACTTCAAACAGGTGGTTCGGTTGCGCTTTACACAGCCCCATCTCTGGAGAAGTTCTCCGCGACGCACTGGATGAAGGTAGGCTTAACACGTGACAGAGAATGCTGAATAGGCCTAAACGTACCTGAAATAGAACGTATCGTCATCTACAGAGGGTGTTTTGACTTTCGCGGACTTCACTATCACAATATCTCTTCAGTATCAAATGAGGTCGCTCAAGACAGGTTTCAAGCAGACGGACATTCCAATTCTCAAGTGGGTCCGACTGCTGATTACAAGAGGAATTCTCGTTTTGTGGGTAGTTCACGTCATTCTGAGCGGCGAGATCTAATCGGCCGGCACTAGAGCCAGTCTTTAGCCGGATACCAACCTCTCTAGTCTTTCTCCTTTTCCACCAACTGATGCCTAAGCTGTATAATCTCACATTCTTCACGATGCTGCTGTCCTTCGGGCCCTTGCAGCTCGCAATCCGCCAGCACCAAATCGAAGAAACTGTACAGGGGGGCGGAATTGCTCAAAACATCCAGCTGGAGGTGGTACAAGACACGGAGACGCTCGTTTACGGTCATCACGGCGTAAAACAGAGTCCTCAGACCAGCTCACACTTGGAGGAGGAAGACCATGGAAAGTTGACGCTCAATAAATTGGTGAGAAGCCAATCGTTGCCGAAGATTTTCTAACCTCTCGGACATGAAGTAGTTGCTTAGTGGTGCTCTCCCATAAACGCTGTTCCATATTTCACTTAATGTGGGGTCTAGGGTCTGTGTCTGGCAATTTTTTTCAGCGTTAATACCCGCGACCCAAAACGGGTCACTTATCGAAGTACCGCGCAAAGCGCGCAAGTTACTGTACAGTAATGATGACAACTGAGACGTCCATTATCAAGTCCGATATCTCTGTATCGGTTCCCGATCTGCGCTAGAGGTAGTAGAGCTCGAGGCAACGGCGGCATTGTTAGAGCGAAGGATGGATTTCGACGCGAGGTCGATCTCGCAATTCACTGAATATGGCGGGTCCATCCGAGCTCGAGGGTTGAAGCTGAAGTCCAAAGCTTTACAAACGTGAACCTTGCGCCGGCGCTGACGGATATACAAGTTCAAGAAGGCCTATACGCATCACTGTGGTGCGCCAATACCGTCCGCGTACTTGACCTCCTTGAGGATGCGCGCAGACGTCCTCGACCTCGGCTCAAACGTATGGGCGCTCTGAAGAGGACGGCGCGGCGCCGGGTATGGACGTTGCACTACCGCGTGCGCGCCAGTACCTCGCGCCGAGGGCGCGCGTTCCAGTACCGGCGCATGATCCTCCGCTGAATCGACACCAGGTCGAGTAATGTTTTCCCGTTCGTCTTGCTCGGGGGTGCCTTCTCGGTCATTGCTGGGCACCACATATGGCGGCCTGTAGCACGGGCTGATGGACCCGCAGATACCGTCAACTGAACGCGATGAAACGAGCGCGCTGTTTACTGCTCGCGCTCGAGATGCTGGGCAAAGTTGAAGTTCGAGAGCAACTCAAGCCCGCGCCGTTTGATGCATGCACGGACCACGTGGCATGCGAGACTCGCTCCTCTACCAGCTCCAAGTATGCGGAAACATCGCCTAAATCTTTGTGTCTTATTCTGGTTCCCGGTACCCGGAATCTCCACTATACGTCCAACATATCGCTGTGATAAACCACAGACCCAGGAGTTGTCTCTGAACGGCCCACCAAGCGTCTCACACGCCTCCCCCAAGACCTCCCGAAGGATATTTCCTTCGACGCCGTAGCTCCAGCGTCGATAACTATCATGAGGTGGACGGCAAATACATCGCAGGCTTGATCTAATTTGGACGCTGTAAGTCTTGGATTGGTGGCCCAAGCGGTCGCCGCCCGTGGCTCACATCACCAGTCTGTTGATCACAGGCAACATGGCGCATACATACAACCTCCGCGCTCGGCAATCGCCTTCTCATTCACCTCCCCCACAAATCGCGAAGACTGCGACAACCCGCAGATCGAATGCCACTCAGAAGGAGCCCGCACCTTCGAATCCTCAGAAGAAGGTTGCTGCTCAAGGCCACACCCCTCAGCCTACGCGACAAACCAAACGAAGTCGACCTGCCGAGCCCAGTGAGCGCGCTCGGAAACGACGTCGGCCGGATGCTGAACTAGCAGTCTTCAGCGTGGGTTCGCAGACGGGATCTCCGGTGGAGAACGTGGTCCTCCGTCCTCCTCCTACGCGACAAACCAAACGAAGTCGAGCTGCCGAACACAACGAAGAGCGCGTTCACAAACGACTTCGGCCGAACGTTGAAACAGCAATCTCGGGCGTTAGTTCTGAGGCGAGATCACCGCAAGAGAGGAATAACTTCAAACATTCCGTGGTGAAACCGAATCGCCTACGAACAGCCGCGAGGGATGTTTGGAGGATAGTGGCTCAGACGGAGGTGCTTATAGCGCGCGCCAGCACGAGCGCTAGGCGTTTGCTCTTGGACGTTATTCATCTGGACGCTCGCGAAGAATCTCCAGTGGAGCATGACACACACGAGGACAGATCCGTACATACCGAACCGTACGTTACGTTGCTTTTATTCGCGCTTCATTCGTTCACGCCGCTCGACGCAGTCCGGCGGACCAGGTTGATGCTGTACCTTTAGCGCACGAACGGCGCCAAACTGACACACGAACCGTTACCGAGGAAGATTTGGAGGCGTTCATCAAAACGTTCCAGTATATCCGCTCCGAAATCAGTGGCAAAGACGAGAAGGCCCTCTCGAGCAAGAACATGCTCGCACTATCGACGCTCTGCGAAGACTGGGTCGATGAGAATGTGACTTGGCACGACTGTCGATGTGACGCGAAGCAGCGAGGCCGTGCCCAAGTGGTGTCGTTTTCGAAACCCAGACCTCGAGTAGGCGTGGATCAACAGGGCCTTCCCTTCCACGACTGGAGTGCTTGTCAGCTGGAACGCTGGCCGCCGCGGAGGCTAGGGAAGGAACGAATCGTCATGGACGAGGCCGGGATCCTCTTCAACGACGCCGTTGTGGACGATGTGCTTGTTCTCCCGGCACCTCTCCGTCCCCGACGACCCAGAGTGTTTGCCGACCAATACCAACCCAACCTTCACGATATACGAAAGACCGTATATCGCGTACTCGAACAATGGCACCGCGTCTACGGGCAATGCATGAGATGCATCCTTCGTGCTGCTCGAACATTTCCGCCTTGGATGATTACGGTGAACGATAAAGATCAATACGTCGACGGCGATCCCGTCTTTATCAATAACGTGAACGACGAGCTGGCGGAATGGGACGAGACAGGAAGGCGATGGCGACATCTCGTGCTTGATCACTATCGTTGGATGCCAGTTGAGGAGTTAGAGGAGAGGGCAAGCGATAGCGCTGCAAATCCTGAGATTCTCAACGGAACGACCGATACCGAGGTTCCCTTTCAACACTGGGCCTGGGCATGAGTGCGGAATTCACGTTACGTAGAGATGCAAACTACGGCGCTGCCTTATTTCCTGTGTATCACCGGTCTGACTGAGGACTAAGTCAACGGGCCGAGGTCATTGTCTTAGCGCCCTCGAATTTTATTACAGGGTTTGCCTGTCGGACTGAACACTAAGAAAGACAATCTCCGTCACGGTGATGAAGGAGATGTAATTGGAGGCATCGTTAGAGCAACTGAAGCCTGTTTGATTTACATTACCCCGTTTGTTTCCATTTGTTGAACACACGTAGGGACCACGTGGCTTCCGAGACGAACCTACCAGCTGCAAGTATGAGGCATCGCCTGAATCATCTCGTTCTGGCTCTGTATACCTTGACCCTCAGCTATACGTCCTGTATATCACAGTGGTCTATTGCGGTTCCGAGAATTGTCTCACCCCTGAGCGGAAGGCCCACCAAAACGTCTCCCCGGTCTCTCCAAGATCTCCCTAAGGATATACTCTCCGACGCGTTTAGCTCAAGCATCGGCAGCTAGCTTAAGGAAGATTGCCCCAAACCCAGAGATCATAAGCATCATCGAATCCCGACGCGGTGAGTCTGGACTCCGTGGCTCAAACGGTCGACGCGCCCGTGACTCGCCCGTGGCTCACATTACCAGTCTGTTGATCACAGGGAACATGACACATACATACAACCTCCGCGCTCAGCAGTCGCATCGTCATTCCTCTCCTCAACCAACTACACAGACCGCGACAACTCGTAGAGCGAAAGACACCCGAAAAGAGCCCGCACCTTCGAATCCTCAGAAGAAGGTCGCCGCTCGAACCAATACCCCTCAGCTCACGCGACAAAGCAAACGAAGTAGACCTGCAGAACCCAGTGAAGAGCGCGCTCGAAAGCGACGTCGGCCGAATGCTGAATCAGCAGTCTTGGGCGCTGGTTCGCAGACGAGATTGACAGAAGAGAAAGTCGACCTCCCTTCTCCTACGCGAAAAACAAAACGAAGTCGACTTCCCGAACCCAACGAAGAGCGCGCTCAGAAACGTCGTCGGCCGGATGCTGTGTCTGTCATATTGGATGTCGATCCTGAAACGAAATCACCGGAAGAGAGGAGCGACCTCAAACGTTCTGCGGTGAAACTGAGCCGCCTACGAAGAGATGCGACGGATGTTTGGAGGATAGTAGCTCAGACGGAAGAGCTCATAGTGCGCGCCATCACTAGCGCCAGGGTTTTGCTCTCGGATGTTGTCCATCTGGACGCTCGCGAAGAATCTTCAGTGGAGCATGGCGCGCTCGAGGACAGATCTGTACAACCCGAGCTGTACGTGACGCTATCCCATTGCACTTCCTTCGCTCACGACGCTCGATGCAGCCTGAGGGAGAGGCTTGATACCGTATCCTCGATAGCCGTACCCCCGCCGGCTGACGCACGGAAGGTCACTGAGGAAGAATTCAAGACCTTCATTCATTGGTTCAGGTACATCCGGTCCGACATCAGTGGCAATACCGCGAAGGCCTTCTCGCGTGATGACATGCGCATCTTGTCTATACTCTGCGACAAATGGAGCGAGGAGAATCCGGCTTGGCACGATTGCCGATACAGCACGAAGCAGCGGAATCCTCACTACCGGTTGCTTCCAACACCGAGACCTCGAATAGGCGTGGATCAGCAGGGCATTGGCTTCTACGACTGCAGCGCTTGCAAGAACGAAGAAGTGACACCGCTGAGGATGGGACACGAACGACTTCTCATGTCTGAAATCGGGATCACGATCAATCACTCCGTTATGACTGACGTGCTTGTACTTCCGGCGCCGATTTGTCCCCGACGACCACGAGTGTTTGACGAACAGTACCAACCCCAATTCCACGACATAAAGAAGCCTATCTATCGCGAGTTCGAAAGCTGGCACCGTAATCACGGACGGTGTATGCAATGTATCATTCGGGCGATCCGGACGTTCCCCACCTGGATTATTGATATCGAGGCGACTGATATCGATGGTTACGTGGATGGCAACCCCATCTTCGTCAACATTCCGGGCGACGAGCTCGTAGAGTGGGACGAGACGAGCAGGCGATGGAGGCTCCTTGTGCGGGATCATTATCGCTGGATACCTGTCCAGGAGTTAGAGACGAGGCCCAGCGATAGCGCCGCGGATCCCAAGATCGTCAACGGGACAGCTAACACCGAGGTTCCATTCAATCCTTGGACTTGGGTATTACGTCGGTAATAACATGGTTGCGCTTTCTTGCTCTCTTATGTACACTTGAGGCAACACTAGACCCTACGCTGCGGCGTGACCCTTGGGCCATTTGTGCTTGGTTTGTTGCACTGCGGCATGTGATGTGATGAGACGAGCGTCCGAGTCGGACAACCGGCGGCGTATGCTGACTGCGTCAGAGTCCGCGCAAGATGACAGAGCCTGTCTCAAGCAGAGGAACTTCGACCACATTCTGCAGTCGGAAGACTAGCATGGTACCGTATCGACCTCGGAATCCTCCAACGCCGTTATTCAGGTTTATGTGCGAGCTTTTGGTAGCGTTGGGTTGGACTGGCGGTCCGCCCGCGAGCAGACCGCATTTCAAGTCAGGGATATTAGTTTCCCTCGGGATGTTGATTCCGGATTTCTGTGCGTGATAGCAGAGCAAAGTCGACCTCGCAAGGTACTCTACTTTACACAGCGGCGGCATCCGACTCGGCGTTCGCCGAAGTCCGTGCACGGCGTCCACCAAATGGGCGCCAACTTCCGACTGAATAGGCTTCAGCGTTCCACGCGTTGAATCAGGCCACCACCCGCACTGCACTCGCCAAGATCGTGTCGTATTATAAGTTTGCGCGACAAGACCGAACGACTCGGCTGAACAACACCAATCCCGCCCGGAATGTCCTGGCGGTTTGCAGGATCATGATCACCTCATCGGGCCCGCTGGCAACGTTAGCCAACCAAATGGCGAATAATCGTCCACCACCCGCTGTAGGAATTTGACGACTTGGTTATCTTTGTCAGCAACCCAGTGCATGAATGCCTGCCCATTCGCGCTCTTGTTGTTCATCGACTCATCCTCATCTGTACTACCAACCATGCAGACCCGCGTACGATCTCTCAGTCTCACCCTTGCACTACTCGCACGCCTGCCTTCT